TGCTATACAACTTGATGTGGATGGCTTGATAACAACTAATATGTTTTGGGCATATGCAAGAATAGTTCTTGACTATCGCCATTTTGGTGATGTTGTTTGTTTTGATACTACCTACAAAACCAATAATCTTTCTTGACCACTTTGCATCATTTGTTGGATTGAAGCATTATAAAAAAAGAATGGTACTTTTTAGAGTTACACTTCTTTATGATGAGTGTACTAATCATTTAAGTGGCTTTTTAATGCATTTGTTCAAGTAATGTCTGATAAAAAACTAGTAACAATGATTATAGATCAAGATCAAGCAATGGCAAAAGCAACAAAAAATGTATTGCCTAAAACTTTTCATTGATTATGCATTTGGCACATATGGAAAAATACAAAAAAAAAACATTTTGGGCAATACTTTTGTACACATAAGACCTTGGCTAAAGAGTTTTTGTATTGCATTAATGATATTGTATACGAGAATAAGCTTGTTCCAGTATGGGAAGTTATGATTGGCAAGTATAATCTTGAAACAAATACATGGTTAGTTGAAACTTTTGAGAATAGAGAGAGAGGTTGGCAATGGCTTTTCGAAAGAAAACATTTAGTGCAGGGAGGAAGAGTACTCAACTAAGTGAGAGTTTCAATAACCAGTTGAAGAAGTACTTGACCTTAAAGCTAAATGTGGTGCGATTCCTCAATCATTTTGAAAGGTTAATGGTTGATTTATGCTACAAAGATGTAAAATCTAATTATGATATGATTCAATGCATTCAAATAATGAAAGTGAATACAACCATGTTAAAGCATGCTAGAGATGTTTACACTCCAAATGTTTTTAAAGACTTTGAAAAAGAGTGAAAAAAATTTACAATCTAGTTATCAAAGATTATAGTGAAAATGAATAATTTTTGAGTACCAATGTTTTGGAGAATATCAAAAGGACTTTGTTAAATTCAACTTTTTAAATAATTCAATATGTTGTACTTGTACGAAGTTTGAATTTTTTAGAATTCCTTGTTGCCATATCTTAGGTGCTAGACTTGAGAAATATCAAGTTTGTACCTAAAAAATACATTGTCAAGAGATGGACAAAAAATTGCAAAGCTTGGAAGTGTAAGAAACATCAGTGGAAACACCATACAAGAATATCCTAAGTCGGATATAAAAAATCGATACAATGAGTTGAGTAGGAATGCAATTAAGTTGACAACTTGGGCGTTTAAAATAGAGGAAAGACGCACTATTCTTAATAAAATTTTTAAGGAAGTAATGCTTAAGTTGGAAAATATTTCATCAATCAAAATTGATCGAATGGTTTTTAAAAGTTTGCCAGTAAGGAAGTTAAACAATTTGTGTACAAAAGGTGATGAAAATGATACTAAGAAATATGATGTGGTGGATGATTCAAAAATCATGAATGTGAAAAGTGCTTTTCTTTTATAATAATATTGATTACTAAACGAAAAGTACTTTTTATATACATGCATATAAATTTACATGTTATCTTTAAAGAAAGTTAAATACTCATTTGTTTTATGTTATATACCTAAGTCTCATAAATTGTATTTTATTATATAACTTGTAGGGTCTACATATTCAGCATAATGAGCTTCCTTCAAACTAACTGTTTCTTTCTGGTATTTCATGTAATGTTTAGTTAACATTCAATAGGTGGTGGGCATGGTGTATTAAAGATATTGCAATTATAGAAGGTTGTCACTAATAATTGAGTAGTCAAGTGTTTGCAAAAACAATAGGGTGTCTATGAATTAAATTATATATCATTTTAAAGTCTACTTTAGAGGAAATTCCATACATTTTGTGTTGTTGTTTTTTTTTTTTAGACAGAATGTTATTGTCAGTATATTTATTTAAAACTCTATTATCTTGAATTTCATTGTTATCAATTTTGTTTTCTACTAGAATCTATTTAATCATTAAATTAGCATCAATTTAGCTTAAAATACCAATTTTATTGATGAAACTATGGTGGCAATGATGAAATTTGAAATGTAATAGTTAGCAAACAACGTAATTATAAATACCAAACAAAGGAAAGAGTAAATGTAATTAAGTCTCTGTAACCATTTTCAAACAAATGCTTTCTTGCCTTTTGAATTGTTTCCATAAATTATAGCTTTCCTAAAAAAAATTCCTAAAAAAATGACAGACATTTATGTTTTAGCCAAACAAAAATTGTAATATGCTTTGTGTTAAATTTGGATACAATGTGATAAGTAGAACTAAAATTTTCTTTCAATTACTCATTTGGTTTAGGTCCAATGATATTCACAAGCTACTGAAATAGATTGAAACAATTTATAGGTATATGAAAAAAATGAAAAAGTATTTATTCCATTATGATCATACTTTATATTGTTTGTTTAATTCAACTACGTACAAACAAAACATTTAATTCCACATTTGTTGGAGTGAAGAAAATACCATTTAAACCAAATGTAATGGACAATTTTAGTTAGTCATTGGAATTAGCATCAAATAAGTATCAAGTTTTTTATAGCTACAATTTGGCATCAAATTGTGTTAACAAAAACTACCAAATAATCCTTAGTATCAAATACAACTTAAGTAGATTTCTTTCCTTTTCTAGCCTCAGGTTACAGAAGATATGGAATTGGAAACTAAACTAATATGGATTATATCGACTTCATCCTCAACTATTGTCACTGCTGCTATGCCTTTCATCACTTGAGCCACTATTACTAGCACCTCTTGCTGCTAAGGTGTTGTGGTTGAGGGGTGTGTGGTTACATTTCAAGTTGTTGCCTATGCCAAAACAAAAACAATTTCTCAAGTAAGTACCATAATCCAAAACTAAGAAAAGATGAGAACATAGAAGTCACAAGTAAAAATCTATTATTTAATGTATATAATTATTACAAATCAGTCTATTAACATAATTGGTAGGGAAAAAGATCAAAACAATGTGCATGAGTTTTTCTATAAACCAAATGTCAAGTTGGCTACAAGTTAAGGCAGAAGGAAAAAAAAAGAAAAACAAATGAATGAGTAGTAGATTATGCATGTATGTACATAGTTGCACATGCGCCACCCATTATAAACCACACACCTTAACACATGTACACACATACATGAACAAACAATAACACAGGCTCACATGATTTGTAACTAACTATAAAAACATGGTTAAAACTTACTGGACATATCCAATCCTTCCATTAGGCAAAAGCATTAGCATCACTGCCATTCTAGCAGGAGTTAGACCTCAACCATAGATTAGTGGCTACAAGATTTCAACATAAATACCAATAAAACATTATAATGTGATGCTAAATTTGAAAAAATAAACAAATAATAAGGTATACATAGAAGAACCTTCCAAAACTTTGGCCTCTTTAAGCATATGCTTTTGAAAGGTAAAAAATTAATAATGACAAATTGTATTGAGAAATATTAGCAATTCATGTCTTGCTGTTAATAAATTACAAAAAATGTCAACTCATATAAATATTGTTTATTGTAGGATATCTATTAACTTATTTTAAGAAAAGAAATTCTAATACATGTAACAATAATGGTCTTTTTACTCTTTATTAAATGCAATGTTCTTTTACATTTTTAGGGGAGTAAGAGAGAAGGAGCAAGATAAAGCTAGTGGCCATTTTACATAGATTAAAAACAACAAAAGTATGTGTCAATTTTAGATTAATTAAAAAGAACAAAAATATGTGTCAATTTTAGATTAATCACCAAGTCATCTTGTCCACAAATTAAAGATTACTTCATCTCACTATAAAGGGAAATGTTTGGTTTACCAGAATCCAAATTTAATTTATAGAGATCTGAAACCTCTCAAAACATGAGCAAATCTTGTAACTCCCATATTTGACAGCATTGAAATTGTTTCCTTGAAAAAATCATCAAACTATTTCCTTTCCCAACTAACTCTACTGAAACAATAACAAATAAGCATAAAAAAGCTGAAGTCTGGAGGACAAAGTGAACGAAACAACTCATATATCCAAAGCCTACAGGACCAAATCTTGTTCTTAGCCCCTCATTGGCTAAGAACAAAGCTACCTAGAGCATGTTCTTCATTTTATTTCTTGGGCTTTTTTAGAAGCTAGAGAAAAGACGCTAAGCTTTAGAGTCAAAATGGTAGTGGATGCTAGAAAGGTTTCTTAAGAAGTTAAATGATAGTCTCCATAGCCCAATACTTTAATTTTGGTTAGCTTTGTTTATGAGTATTACCATTTTTTGTTTTGGTTTTGTCTCTTCTTAATTTTGTAAAGATGACTAGTGAGGAAATGATAATGAAGTAAGGGTCGCCCTAGGGATATTTTTTCAAGTGTAAAAGAAGTATTTGGTTGCTATTGTCGTTAGTTGTTTCAAAGAGGGTTATGATCTTTTGAGAAGAAAAAGGAAATTTGAAAAAAAAATTAGAAGATAAAAAAAAAAATTTGGTTTAGATAAATTAACAAAGAAATTATTTATTTTTATCGTTAACATTAGGCATCAAGAGTAACATAGATTTAAGGTCCACGTGCCAATATTTGTTTGATTTAATTTAGTGAATTGTAAGATTGTAAAAGAATTAATTACAAGTGATATGAATTTAATAAGTGATGGAGAGGTTTTTCCAAGAAGTTTAATTTAATTAAAGTTATTATAATAGATACAAAAAATATTTATTAAAAAATGATAAATTTTAAACTTATAAAAAATATATATTTACTATTCTATTTTTAATGTAATAAAAAATTTATAAGATGAAAATAATAAAAATAATTTTTTTTTAATTTTAAAATTTTTATTACACCTATTTATAAATAATTTTAAAATTTTTATTACACCTATTTATAAATAATTTTAATAAAATCTTTTGTAATTTTTCATAAAATTTCAAAAGTCAAAAATATATTTTTAAAAAGTATCGTGACTTTTCAAAAATAGATTACCGAAAGTCATAAAACTTAACAACAAATTAATATATATATATATATATATATAATAGATGTGTATTTAGATTTTTCCAAGGGTTGGCCCATACAATGTTTATCACATTCTTTTTTCAGAACAATTATGCGAGAAATGGTAAATGGATCAGTTAGACAAGAGTAAACCAATTAGCTGAAGCCCATAACCATTGATTCCCTTGAAACAGGCAGCGGCGCAACGCCCGCAGCTCTCGGCAGGCCAAGGCTGTATCAGTTGCGCAACAATAAGAAACAAAGAATATAAACAAAGGCAAAATTGCCCCCTCCTCGCCCGCGGGTCTCATAGTAATAGTTCCCAAGTCTCAAGTCTTCAAGGTAAATCTTTTATTCGGAACAACTTGTCATCTTCAGCCTTTTTCTTACATCTGATAGAAAATTGTTTTGGTGTAGGGTTGAAGATGGAAGCAGCCACAGGCAGAGCCACTTTGATTGGATCTTCTATGTCCGTACATCGGCCTTCAACCTCCGTTACCAGATCGGCTTTTTGGGCTGCCAATGGCCTTCATTTTCTACGTTTCGCTGCCGAACCACGCCTCCCTTTCCCGATTAAGGTATCAATTTAGCTCATACCTGTTTTATTTTGTCTTTTACGTTTTTTTTTTCCTTTTATAACATATGTTCCGGGTGTTAGATATTTTGCTTGTGTGAATTTTTACTTCTGTTGTGAAATTTATGGGGGAAAAAGGGTGAAAATCTTGATACTTGCAAACCCACCAGGCCGGGAACACATTTTTCGACTGATTATGATTTTTTTTTAATGATGTGAAAATCAGCATGCTTCAAAACACATAGTACATGTGAATGCTTCATCCTGTTTTTTTGAATGGAAAATTCATTTTCCATAGGCTGGAGTTGTGATGGTTCCATTTTTTTTATTGAAAAATTGAGTCTATTAAATAGGGTTTTTTTGTTTTTTTTTTTGCAATTCAAATACCGCAGTTTTGTTTGGATGCGCATTTTATTATTGATAGTGTGATTTGGATATCAAATTTTCTCAGGAATTCCGTATTTGATTTGGTGTTTTTCTGTTTATCAACTCGTTACAGCATTATTCTTCAGTCTCTTACTCAAAATCACAGAATAGGAGAATGGCTTTGGGGAGTAGGAGAGGCATAGTTGTTAGGGCATCATCATCACCAGACTCAGCTGAACCCACTGCTCCAATTGCACCGCTTCAGATGGAGTCTCAAATTGGGCAGTTTTTGTCTCAAATCTTGATAAGCCATCCACATCTTGTGCCTGCAGCAGTTGAGCAGCAGCTTGAACAGCTTCAAACTGACCGTGATGCTGAGCAGAAAAGGGAAGAGCTGCCTGCTTCTGGAATGGATTTAGTATTGTATAGGTTGGTGACTCATCTTACTATATAGTGGTAACTATTATAGACTTGATGTGGAAACTTACTCATGGAAACAACTTGAATTTATTGCAGGAGAATTGCTGAGGTTAAGGCTAATGACCGAAAAAGGGCTTTAGAAGAGATCCTCTATGCATTGGTTGTACAAAAGTTTATGGATGCCAATGTCTCTTTGGTGCCTGCAATAACTCCCACTTCTACAGATCCTTCAGGTCAAGTGGATACGTGGCCAAGCCAAGAAGATGAGCTTGAGCAGCTTCACTCACCTGAGGCCTATGAAATGATCCAAAACCACTTAGCTCTCATTCTGGGAAATCGATTGGGTGATTCAACATCTGTAGTACAGGTAAGTAAACTCAGGGGTGGGCAGGTCTATGCTGCATCAGTGATGTATGGATACTTCCTGAAGCGGGTTGACCAGCGATTTCAGCTTGAGAAGTCCATGAAAATCCTTCCAAATTCTTTAGATGGTGAAGGAAGTAGTATTGAGCAAGCTGTGGGGGAGGACATGAGACCTGCTGCTCTAGGGGACTCCTATCAAGCTGTTTCATCAGACCCTGAAGTCTCATCTTGGTCTGGTGGCATCAGTCCTGGAGGTTTTGGTCATGGGATAAACCCCTCTCGGTTACGGACTTATGTGATGTCTTTTGATGGGGAGACATTTCAGAGATATGCGACAATTAGATCAAAAGAAGCTGTTAGCATTATTGAGAAGCACACAGAGGCCCTATTTGGAAGACCTGAGATTGTTATAACTCCACAGGGCACTGTTGATTCTTCCAAGCATGAGCTTATTAAAATTAGCTTTGCTGGTTTGAAGAGACTTGTTTTGGAGGCTGTGACTTTTGGTTCTTTTCTATGGGATGTTGAAAGCTTCGTGGACTCAAGGTACCATTTTGTTATAAATTAGCTATGTTAAATTACATCCCTGCCAAAGCAAACTTTGTAGTGGGAACTCAACTGCCAGACTATGGTTTAATTGAGTGTAAATTTGGTGATTGTTACTTAGCAATTGGCATTGGTTATTCTGTAAATAGTTCAGTTTTCCTATTGGAAGTTGCATCTTGATACATGCAGCTGTTTGAGATTTATCTTATTTTTCCTCTTTGATTTTATAACTGGAACATATATATGAAACGGTAACATCTGAGCTGTGATATTCGGAAGATGTTATTTGGTTTGAAGTTATCTGATTCATTTTCCATATCATCTAACTGGATCGAGTCAACATGATGCATTAGTTTAGCTGGCGTGCTACCTGTTTCTTGGATCCATTGTCTCACAAAACCTTGAATTACATTAAATTATGTAAATGAATGTAGTGAATAAGGTTTAATTCATGAATTATAGACTACAGGACACAGAATTTAAAACTCTAAAATGATATTCCAAACACCATATCCCTTCCCTCACCCTCTCTTTCTCTCAAAAGCCAAAATAGAAAAAAGAGAAAAGAAAATCAAAGAGATGAGAGAAACTGAGTTAGCTTTGGTTCTGGAATTCTTTATTAGCTGGGAGAATCAGAAAATGTAGAGCATATATGAGACGTTATCAAGCCCTTGAAGAGTGTATTTTCAACATTATAAACAGTTTTGGTACTTTAAATTATCTATGGTTGAGTTGATCACTGAAGAAAGCTGTAATGGGCCCATGATAACGATGATTGAATGCTTTATTGGTCTTGTAACGGTTTTATCTTTAATGCAACCAGATATGGTTACAAATTTGGAACTTTGAAGAACTGCACAAAAATTGAGCAATTTGTTTGTTTGTATTAGTTGGACTGGGTTTTCATCCCAGACCATATAGTTGCCTCCTAGTTCATGGGTTTAGTTAGACTTACTAGCTCAAAATGATCTCACTGTGTTTCAGAACTAGCACAGAAAATGGCGAAGAAACGGAGGCCGAGGTGCTAGGTAAGCGAGTGGATTAAGCATTTTCTTTCATTTTTTCTTCTGTTGTCAGCATGTTCTTCGACCCTACTGATGAGATTGAGCTTTCATCAGCATAAATTTGTTCACTTTGGATGCCTGTGGCTAGTTTTAGTTAGCATGCATCATGGATTAAGTTTTTTCAGGATGGACAATGGTTCAGTTTTTGTTGTTTATTGCAGTCATGTGATCTAAACTGATATTACATCATGTCCTTTTCAAATTGTATATTGAGATGGTGATATTAGGGTTTAAAGCAATATTGTCATCAGCACATCAAATTACTTGTAATGCAGTTTCTGCTGTAAATGCTCAAGGATTAAAGAAGGCGGTATGAGTTTTCAGGGTGCTAAGATCTTTTTGATCTTATGGAATAAAGATCAAATGGTAGAGATAATGGTGTATAACTAGTTACCGGAAATGTGATTATAGGTGCTGCCTTGTAAGAAGGCAACTATACTAGGGGTGAGCAAAAGTTGGTTTGAACCGATTAGATCGACCAAAATCGAGTGAATTCGGTTGAATCGATTCGGTTTATTCGGTTTTAATTATAATCGGTTTTTTAAATCGGTTAAATTGGTTAATTCGTTCGGTTTTCGGTTTTTAAAATTGATAACCGTACTGACCGAATTAACTGACTTTTTAATAATTAAAAATAAAAAAATTGAGATAAATATTTTTATTTATTTTTTTTTGGTAAAATATTGTTGAAATTATTAAATTCTTTAGTAATTTAGTTTGAATGATACTAGAGTTTAAATTTTATTGAATTGAATTTATAGTTAAATAATTATTCATAATAGGAAGAAAAATGATAAAAAAATCGGTTATTTAACCGAATCGATCGAACCGAACCGATTTTGATCGGTTCGGTTATGGTCGGTTATTTAATAATATTTGGTCGGTTCGGTTATTTGTTAAATGAAAGTCGATTAAATCGGTTATTGATTTTTTCAAATCGAACCGACCGAATTGATCATTTACTCACCCCTAAACTATATCGGGGAGAGACAAAAGTACAGTCTTAAACATCGCCATGGGTATTGGAAGAATGATTTCTTTTTTTGGTTTTTTTGATTGGCAAGCTTTGCAGCACTGCATTTAAGTGAGTTTTATTGTCCAATTTGACTCATTGTGTCAAGCATTCCGGAACTTTATAAAAGTGTCGATTGTCTTAATTGGTTGTGGAATTTGGGTGTTGGGACATCACATCAAATTCAGAATTTTGGATACTATTGTGTTACCAAAGGAAAACTGAATATTTTTTGCATGAAAGACCTTGATGCATAATGCAAAGAATCCAATTAAGCGATTAAACCGCGTAAGTTTTTATTGCTTGTTTTCTTTGGTATTTTACTTGACTGGTTATATTTGATGTTTTTGCATATCTTTAAGGGGCGTTTGTTTATGTCATAAGATTATTCTGTATGATTTAAAAACAATCTTCCAAAGTCGGATAATTTTGGGTCGTTTTGAAGGAAGTCACAAATCTATCATACTCTGAGATTAAGTCAAATTTTATCTCGTTTTTACTCTCATTAAATGAATATTCGGGGTACGTTTAACTCTTGAAAAGCGAGCATTCAGACCAGGTTCTTTAATGTTACTTCCATATCCTCTTTCCATTTTCACAAAAAGTTTTGGATGTTCTCCCTTCTAAAGCAGTGACTCGCTAGATCAATTTTCCTCTGGAGACCAAAATTGATGTAAAACTTTATTAAAAATTGGTCATATGATTCTTCATTCTCAAAATAAAAACCTACATTGCAGTGTAGGGTTGCTTGGATAGATCTAAGCTATGCAGAACTTTGCCAAAAACATCATGGAAGACAATCTTTGCATCGGTTGCAGTTAGCTCAACAGACATGAATCCTTGGCCGTCATAATAAAATTTCATTTCATCTCCGTCTAAATAATGAAAGTCACCCTTCCATGCCTTTGAACCTCCTCCACTGGTGAAAAATTGGAGTTGGCTGCATTTAAAACCAAAATATATTCTTTTAGAGGTTTTTTGACAGCTCTGCAGGTATTAACCATTGAATGTTCCTTTTTTTTTTACCTTGTGATGCTACTCAAGTGTTCCAAGCAATGATCATGCCCATTTATGTACATATCGACATTGTTTGCCTGGAAATTGATTCCGAATGAAGCTTAGAGTGATTTATCCTGTGTCTCATCATGTTAGGCAACAAAAGGTATTACCTCAAGTATTGGTAGAAGCTGCATTATGAGCTCCTTGGTCTCGCCATGGTGCCCAATGCTTCTGATGGGATGATGGCCAATCACTATTTTCCAGTTAGCAACTGACTCCCTCAGCGCCGATCTCAGATCCTGGTTCAATTTCAAAGTTTCCCATTTTTGGGATGGGTCACCTTGTTTTCTCTTCAAAGACAGCAATCATGTTTGAAGCAAGATCATAGATATTACCTTCAAAACCCGCCTGAGGTATTTCTTCCTGGGAATCACTCCTCTCCAGTCAAATTTTTGGTGCTTTGGGTTTTGGAAGTACTGATCAACAAATGGAGTCGTGTCGATGAAGAAAAATTCCACAATTTCTAATAATTGTGACAGCATTAGCAAGAAAATCAGTAAGCCAGTTAGGATTTACTTAGACATGGCAATTCTATATGTGTTAGTGTTTTATACGAGAATTGCGGGTAAATACCAAAATAAAAAAAAAAAAAAATCTATTTTTTAATTTTTGTTAAAATTTTAACATGTATCACTTTTGTGTGTTTTTTCATATTGATTTTATGTTATGTCATCGTATTGCTAGTCTAGATTGCTTTATAAATAAATTATTAAGATGAATTCAATTAGAAAATCCTTTCACCTGTTTTAACGATGAAAGATCGTAGGCAAAGCCATCTGCTGTCTATCCTCCTCAGAATGGGGCTCAATTGTGCCTGCACATCTCCCCTGTAATCGTGGTTGCCCAAAACTGTAACAAAATGTTTGGTTTTATGAATAGGAGGAAACTAGGAGTCGAGAAAGAAAGAAAATGTCAATCCCCAATTCGAGTGCTTACCACTATACCACTGCTTCTTTAGGCTGTTTGCAGTGTAGATTTTGGTAAATGAGTCTTTGAACACAGGGTCATATGGGCTAGCCAGCCCCTTCTCATAAAAATTGTCCCCAGTTGAGACCACAAAGTCTATGCTTAGTTTCTCCCCAACCTTCCCCATCTACCCAAACAATAAAATTCAAAGTTCAAGATTCAATGCATATGTTTCCATGGTGGCTATATCTATCATGAATCTGTAAATATGCGACTTGATTACAATGATAACAAAGTAAACAATATGTATGATCAGAAATGAGGACATAAGACAACAAGACCTGAAGAGCCACTTGGGATTGATTATAAGCTCCTTTTCTTCCCCAGTCTCCTATCACGAAAAAGCTAAGTGACCCATCGGCTTTGACTGGGTGTTCAAATCGGTGAAGCTCTGCTGAGACGAAAATAAAGCAAAAACAGAAGCAAGTTAGCCAGACCGAGCTCAACGAGATGGAATAATGGTTACATGAGCCATCCATGGAAACGGATATGGATCAGTTAGAGTTAAAAAATAAGCAGCTCTTGTTTTAAGAAATTCAGGGTAGAATTTGGCTTGGCTCTTCCAAGGGGTTGCTTGCATATGGTTTATAGAAAGAATTTGCTTACCGTAGCTAGTAAGATTGTGTAGTTTTTTACGCGACAAATTAGAAGACAGGCCAAATTTGCATGGTAATTGGCATCCATATCTTCATTTTATATGCTAAGGGACAAGGAAAAGTAATTAAATTGGACTATGGAATAAGGCTTGGGCAATGTTTTGGTCACATTCAAAGTTATTTTGTTATGAAGATAGAATTTAAATCGATTGATTTATGTAATTATTTTTAATAATTGATATTCATCAAATTTAAAATTTGAATTTTAACATTTGTAACTCATTTTTTTATCTCTAGATTGAAGCCTTTTTGTACAAAAAAAAAAAAAAAAAGATATCTTCCTACAAAATTTCCTGGAAATTTCTCATGAATTTCGCCTAGTACTATGTTTGTTGGCATGTTTCAGACTTGAGAATAAGGGATTCACGTGATGGATGACGACCTGAGAAAATGGTTGCATTGGGCAGAAAACTCCAGCTTGGTTGTCTACGACCTTTATTAATTAAATTGTTTGAAATTGAGTAATTTTGTTCAGAAAAATGATCCAAAAGGAAGATATTACTTATAAAATTTTTAATTATAATATTATAGTTATTCAAGTAAAATAAAAATTTATGTAAATAATAACTACTCATAAGTGTAAATTTCATATAAAATTTTACATAATTTTAAATTATAGTTGATTAATTATACTATAATCATAATGATATGCTCCCCACTATAAATAAATTCAATGCAAATCACAACATTATACATTCGGTAAGACCTATGCAGAAAGGGTATATTATCTGCAGCCAAATTAGTAAGAATTTGGACAGCATGAGATTTATTACGTTATCTTTATGTAATAAAAAATACTGCCTTCCAAAAAAATTACTCTGCTACCATTTCACAAATAAATAAATAAATAAATAAATTATCTCTCATCTTAATTATATCCAACCACATGATTGAGCTTTTTACTTATTTGTCTTCTTTATTTTATTTTTCAAATTTCAAATTTTTGCCAGGCAATTTCTATTTTGGTTTTAGATTTTTAAAATTTTATAGCATCTAATAAACTCTATGGTACAAAGATGAAGGCATCCGCTAAGGACTCTTACAGTATCAAATGCTTTATGATTGAATCACAAAAGACATTGAAAAAGGGTTAATCAAACTAGTTATTGTAAAAGTTTGAATGCTTTCCCAATAAAAAAGTTCACAAAAATAATAAAAATATATAGAAAGTACTTTTTTCTCGTAAGAAAGGAAATTAAGATATTAATGTATATGATGATAGATAAAATAAAATAATAATCATTTTATCTTATGTTTGATTCGTATATAAAAAAAGAGATTAGATTGTAAAAATGATTAATCATTTTTTTAGCATGGGATGATTCAATCCTCTCAAAATGAAGAGAATTATTTTTAATCCATGGGATTAAACTTACATGGCTAACCTTAAAAATTACATTAAAAATTTAAATTATATAAATTTTGAAGAAGAATAATTTTGACAAATAAATAAAATTATCCTATCTTAATATTTGCATACATTAAACATAAGATAGGATGCCATTATTTAACTTAATTATGGATGTGTTTTTGGTATATACAAATATGATAAGATAAGATAAGATAATATTATATAGGATTAGATTAAATAATGTTATTCTATTTTATATTTGATGTATGCAAGAATTAGATAGGATAATTTATTTATTAGTCAAAATTATATTTCTTCAAACTTTATATAATTTAAATTATTGATATAATTTTTAAGGATTTAATAGGACATGTAAATTTAATTCCATGGATTAAAAATAATCATTTTTATTTGGGAGGATTAAATCATCCTATACCAAGAAGATGATTAATCTTTCTTGTAATCCTATCCTTTTTTTTAGATACAGATCAAACATGATATAGGATAATTAACATCCGAAACTATCCATCATCCTATGCACCAAGCATGACCCATATTTATAATATACTCTTATCATATCCTATTTATAATCTTATATACCAAACATATCACAAATGCCTAGATAAAATTTTATTATAGTAATTTTTTTTTTAATAATGAAATGATACACAAGTATTTTTTATTTTAATAATTTTAAATTTAATTTGAAAATTTACTTTAAAATGTAATATATATATATATGTGTGTGTGTGTGTGTTATGTGTATTATATATAAGAATTTATATTTAATATACTTTCAATGTTATATACTGTCACTGAATTAAATTATGTTACCTCATTAATGACCAAATATAAACTTTTACTGACCCTTAAAATAAATACACAAAACTTAATTGTTTTTTTTTAATTTCTCATGAATGAGTTAGCATTATTTGGTTCACTTACAGTATGTAAAATTTATACACTAATAATATATCAAATATCAATTTTATATAAAAATATCTACTTTCACTACAAAAGAATGCAAATTTAAAGGTTTTTTTTTTCTTGGTGGTTTGGTAAACCACTAGAGATTTTATATTTTACTTTGTCTTTTCTTGGCCAAAGCTGACTCATTGTTAATGATTTTTCCTAAGGACACTGTTATTTTTATTTTAATAATTTTAAATTTAATTTGAAAAATTACTTAAAAAATGTAATATATAAAAATATCTAGTCTCTTCCAAATAACATTGTCATTTTTTATTTTTTATGAAAAATTCTAACTTTAATTTTTTTATTGTATATTTGTAATTGATAAAAATATAAAGAGATTTTTTTAATACCTTCAAATGAAATATTTTTAAATATATATTTTATAAGATTTAATTAATTAAATATTTAAAAAATGAAAAAAATTAAAATTTTGGTCACATTAGTAGTAATATTTATGTGAAAAAGAGAAAATGCTAAAGGTAGCCGTAGGTACCATCGCATTCCAACACTTTATCGTACAAGAAGCCACATCACCTCATTTTTTCAATTAAAAATTGATAATTGAATACTTAAGTTTTCTTTTTTTGAAAGTTTAAAACTCTTGCAATATGACCAGAAGAAGAAGTTGACTCATCATTTAACACGTAAACAACATTCTACACATAATTGCTTTTTCTTTCTCTTTGAATTTTTTTTTCTTATCTTTTCTCTATTGTTATTTAAAAAAATTCTTTCTCCAACTCGGTTCTTCATTATATGTTGTAACCCTTTTGCTTTTGTACTTGAGAAAAGCTTGCTTTATTCTTTATTTTTTTGGTTGCGGCAAAGTTTCTGCTAAAAAATGGGCTTTTTGTACTAAATTGACTTCCTTAATTTTAAATCAATATTATTTTTTTGTACTTTTTAGTCATTAGGAAAATGAGTTAATTTCATGAACTAGGTCATTTTATTCTTGGTGAAGAAAAAAAAAGGTTTTGAAAACTCAAAGATTGATAAAAATAAAGCCTTCTCTCTATATAAAGAAAGGAGATTCATAAATTAAGCTATCTATTAGAGGTTAATCCTAGTAATGGTAATTTTATGGATGATTTTTTTTTTTTGCCAATAAATTTTGTGAATGATGAATCCTTGGCAGTGGCAATGCTGCCACCTCGACCTATTCCTTTTTAGTCAAGTTTTTCTTGAGATTTTTTATTTTGTGAAAATCTTTTCCTTTTTGATTATTAAACCAAAGTAACACAATTCCTTCTTTTGAGTTAGGTTGTTTTTTGAGATTCTTCATTTTGCGAAAATCTTTTTCTTCTTAATGACTAAATCAAAGTAATTCAAATTTGTTATCGTGAAGTTATGTAACTCGTAATAGTAAGTTATCGGTTTTGAATTGAAAAAATAAAATGACATAGCTTCTTATATATGAAAAATTCTAAATACACAAAAGAACACTTTTTATACCCCATTACTAAATACATCCAACGTTTAAAATATAAATATCTTTTTTTACTTAATACACCTTATCCTAGCACTTAAATTTTCTTTCATACCTTTTACACTATCTTCTTCAATCTTTCAATTTTCTCTCTAATCTCAATTCAAATTCGATCCCAATTTACCCAACACCATTAAATCAACTCGTAAATCATAAGTCTTTTTAGTATTCCATTCATTGTAGTTAAAATTTCAAAATTGTTGTTAATTAATTTGGTTGATTTGTTAAGGTTTATAATCTAGTTTATGATTTTTTTTTTTCATTAAAATCGTGTATCTCGAAATTCATTTTTGAAAGCCTTTTCGTTTGTTGTTATTGAATTGTTCTTTTTTGTTATAGATATGGCTTGCATTAGAGGTGGAGGCATTTGTACGAGAGGTGGAGGTGTTGACAGAGGTGATAGAGGTATCACAGTTGATCTTGGTTTAAGTCAGGGGCATTCGATTACCTTTGAGAGGAGGTGCTAAGACAGACTGTTAGCGCTTGTTAGGAAGGGGAAGTATTGCAAGCAACCTAATTCCTATGTTATAGCCTTCGTTCCCTGGTCTGTCGGTGTGCGGAGACAGTGACGAGTTCGATTTTCACTAGTTTCAAAGGCCCTTGGGGGGAACTAGAATCATAATATCTTTCCCTCTCTATGTGAGAGGAGACCAAAAGAAGTAGGGATTTGATTGATGGAACGCCTTTGTGAAGTCTAGCTCTATTATATGCTTGAACGAACTGGTTGAGGACTAACTAGGAGATGATATTTCATAGGTTGAGCCTTCCACTGATGATTAAGAATTTACCCCACTAGCATTATGATAGGGATGAAAATGATATTGTAGAGCAAGTTTTTCAACCTTTTCTCGAAGGTTTCATTGATACATCTATTCTTAAGGGTTTTAGATCTCATGTTGCATTACAAATATGGAATGGCCAGTTAATCACTTAAAACATATAATACAATAATGTTAGTTTATGGTTTTAAAGTGAATTGGTTGATTATTATTATTATTGATGATATTGTTTATATTGTTGTTTATGTTGTTGATATTGTTGTTGATCTTATTGTTGTTGTTGTTATTATTTTTACAAGAGCAAGATCCATTGAAATTGATTAATTATGAACCTAAATTACAGTAATGGCATCAAGATGATGCATATAGTTGTATCCGAGCAAATGTAATCAAGTTGAGGTTAGATTCATTTATTGACTAAACCTATCATTTGATAAATAACACTATAGTGTTGGCTTTTGTTGAGAGGTGGTAGCTTAAGACTATCATCTTTCATCTACCATTCGAAAAGATGACCATCACGTTAGATAATGTATTTTTGATTTTGCAC